GGGGTTGTTGCCAACGAGGCATCGGGTGGCAGAAATAGGCCTGCTGCATCTCAGGATGGGTGTAGGCAGCTGCCCACTGAGTCCAGAGCAGACAGTCCTGCAGGCAGGCCTTTTCACAGGACTGCAGCCCCGGGAGCAGCTTGCCGCAGCGCCTCAATCCTGCCAGCCCCAACCTCAGGCAGGAGAAAGCAGCTGACGAGGGGGCTGTGGAGAGAATCAGCTGGGTGGGAGAGGGCCGGCAAGCTGGTAACGCCAGCACTCCCTGCCTTGTTGAGAATATCCAGGGCTGCTGTTCAAGGCTGCTTTCTGCAGATCTGCTGCAACAGCAGGGTCCATATACTTCTGAAATGAAGCCTTCTCCCTCTCCTCTCTCAAAAGCTTTCCCCTGTATGGAGTCTGCTGCTCTTTCCCACAGGTCTGCTATATTCAAGGCAAGGGGCAGGGAAGGAAGGGGTGAGAAACTCTCCACATGCTACCTGAACATTAGTTGCACACATTAGTACACCCTGAAGTATCAGCAATACTGTTGCCATACAGTTAGATCACCCTCGCTGAAAGATTTCCGACGGTTCGGAAGTCAGTACCTAATGCCCACTTTCACACAAACTTTATTACAAATATGGAAGCAACACAAGAATTCCAGCACAAAAAACTCTAGTTATCATTTGTTTGCCAAAACCAGGCACAAATTCTTTATTATGTCTATGCAAACAAGGGAGACTTCTGTATAAAAACCAACATGATTTCTGTTTTGGCTAGATAGGCACACAGTTGCTTCAGAAATCCAATGTACATCTTTTGCTACAAGTCGTATTCCCCACATCAAGCCCCTGTGCATTGGCTATTTTAATTAAGCATATTTCATTCAGGTGGATGGATGCTACAAGCTTCAAGACTCTTTCTAGCCCAAATGATCAGGGATTCTGATTCAGCTTGTTGGGCTTGGACAGTTCCAGCAACCAGTCAAAAGTTGCTCTTCTGTGGTCCTCTATTACCATAAACAATTACACAAAAGAGCTCTCATGCTGTGATCTTTCTTGCACTTCCATCTTTTGTTCAGCTTACCTTTAAAAACTTTCACTGTACTGTGGGCAAGAAACAAGAAGAATGGTGGGCAAACAAACAAGAAGAATGACCTGCTTGGAAGCATGGAAGATCCCTCCAAGATATATCAGGCCATTCATTTACAGTAGGTAAAAAAGGCTGAAGGCCCAGAGGAGCAGGGTGGAGGAAAGGAAATTGAGTGGTTTAAATTGCATCTTGTTTACATTTCTCCCCTCTGATTGACACGCAGCTACAGGTTCCTTGCATTCTTCCTCTCCTGCTAACCTTTCATCAGGTAATGAAGCACACAGAGGCTTCTGTTGCACCATTCAATTAAGCAACATCATATATTCAGTATGATTGAGTAGATGCCGAATGCCAACTTGACAAAAAAGGAAATTAACTTCTCCTTAAAACAATGCACAATGTCTTGGAGCACAGCTGTTTAAGGATTCAAGAAACAGAGACAGTACGTGGTAAAGATTGAGAGTGCATTTACTCAATATTTGCCATTTTTTGTGCACGGGTTCTGCTTTTGACTGAAAGAAGATTCCTTCAAATGGTCCATACAACCATTTTCAAATGGTTTTGGTAAGGTAATACACGAGACAATCTCAAGTTCAAGATGCATGTGACAGCAAACTAAAATTAGTTTGTGAGCTGCCTAAAGATGCTATGGCACAACAGGCGGCATACAATTGTTTTAAATTAATTAATTAATTAATTAATAATAAACCAATCGATAAAATTACTACCCCATTTGACATTAGGTGGCCGTTTGATGGAATGACAGCAGAAATCACAGACCGTTTTAGATGCATCTAAACCATTTTAGGTGCCAGTCTATTAGGCCGGCTCTGCTCGGTTGCATGTGAAAAGAGGAGCACTGACACACTTAGCATGCAGCATGTGTGGCATGTCTCATACCATGCATTCTTTGCGAATATCATGTGGTGTCTGGTAAATCCTCCAGGCAAGTTGCAGGCTAGTGTTCATCAGGACAACTGACTGTGGTAATGGTGGCATCTTCAGCCACATGACTCATATTCTAAAAGTTCATTCTTCTGAAACACTATATGCTGCTATGTAGCATCTACTCTACGGGTAGAAAAATCCCGAAATGATCTAAATTCGCCTGTGGAAACTGCTTTAACACCTTGTTGCATTTGCAATAGAACAAAACAGCTTCTTGCAAAGAGAGACAAACAGGAGGTATGAAACACTTGATGTCCTTTGATCAGGTGAGGACTCCTGCTATGAGAATATCAGCCTGGATTTCAAAACACATCATCTTCCACCAGCCCATTTACTGGGCAGCTTCTCCAGTCAGACATTTTAAGATTCAGAGGATTCAGAGAGCACACAGTGACATTATTCCCAATTAGAGTCTTATTTTTATGGATTCGTGTTTCCAAGCCATCACTTCTGCAATTTTTCATTCTAAAACCAGGTTCAATTACTGCCCATTTGCCCCTTCCCCTTAAAAAAAAAGAGAGGGGAAGCAATGTGTAAAGAGGATATAATTTAACAAGCCAGCTATTTCCATTCTTTCCTAGTGCAGATCTCTTAACAGGATCAGAGAAAACCATGAGCAACATGGGCTGGCTGCCATAAAAAAGCCCTGCAATGAATTATTCAAATAACGTTTTGTTATGCAGATAGCAGCATAAAGCACAGCATCTGTATACTAGTGACAGCTTTATTGGCTCAGCCTAATCACCAGGGGAGAGTGTATCAGATAGGATAACCCCCTTTGAGTTTCAACATGCTAACAAACTAGGGGCAAAAATAAAGGCCCCATACTTTTCAAACAAATCACTTGGGGAAAGGGGAGGAGATGGGATTTACGAGTTAAACATCCATTAAATCCACAGTTTTACACTGAAGAGGAAACAAGTAAGAGTTTTAAAGGACATAGATCTTCCTCAACAAAGATAGGGGACATAAAGTTTGCTGCAAGCCAATAGGGAAAAGAAGCTTAAATTTTAATACCACCTGAAAGTAAAGTTTGTTGAATGCATGTGGCCAGAAGGTGACAAATCAGCAGCTGCTTTTCATTGTGCTTGAGGGTCTCTTGAAATAAGTTTCTATTCCTCAAAGAGATACAGTGCAGGGAGCAATTAGAGGGGCTTGTAAAGTCAAGTATATAAAAATGGTCTACATGGATTTGGTTTGATAGACAAGCTTGTACAGTTTATATGTGCTGGCATCCGTGTGTTCCACTTTTTCAGCTCAACTGTTCCTAATTAAAACTCTCAGATACCACAACTCTGGGGCCCATGTGAATATTTATATAGATTCAATACATCATCTTACATGTCCAAATGGGGCTGCCATCATCACAGCTATTAACATTACTTCAAATACACACACACACTTTCAGTATACAATGGAGCTTTAAGTAAAGGCACTCCTCTGCATGGACTCAAGTGGAAACCTCACTTTTCTGCTACCTTTAGAATTCTTGACATCAAGGATTTATGACATGCCCTGGATTCAGTCTGCCACATTTTAGCTGCTGCTGTTACACATCTGCTCATAAAAGGGCTAAAAGGTACCACTAGGCAAGGGAGTGCATTTCCCTTCCCCTTTCAAGGTAGAATATTCTTAAAATGGGAATTTTTAAAATAGTCTTCTAGCATTCAACCAGAAACCAGCAACTCCAAGCGATCAAGTTGTTCTTTCCCTCACGAACAACTTCCACTCAAGAAAGAATTTCCATTGTTGGATCAGACATTACATTTAGTGTACACAGATGCATTTCCAGCTGGGAGAAACATGGCAAGGACATTTTTGGACTTTTTTCAGTTCTAATGTTACAATATGCATTTTGTGAGTGGGGGGCAAGGATACCAAGTTCATAGATGGAGCCCAAGCCCATCCACATTTCCTTGCAAATAAGCATCGCTAATTAAACTATACCTAAGTGCGTACTGGACTGTGGCTGTAAGAGCCTATAAACCAGAGTTCTTACACCAGACTATGGTACTGTCTTTTTTAGGATGCAATGCGGGGAGAAAAAAAAAGGGGGGGGAATCCTACAATCCCCCCATGCCCCAACCAGCCATGTAGGGCTTCTTCCTTTCTAAACAAGCTCCTAAGATAAAATAATTATTTCTCCCATAAATATGCTAAAGTTGTAAACTTAATTTGTAAGCTCATTCACAAATGGATTAGAACACAGCTTTCAATCCTCATTGCCTGGACTCAAAGCATCAGGGCAGGGAAGAGAGAGAGAGAGTGGGGGGGGGGGGTTAACTTTTAGACAGCCCATTTCATTTAATTCACACTTGAAACCAAAAAGACAAAGGCCTAAAGCAACGTTTAGATAGCATGGCAATTTGCTCAATGCAAAATTAACAAGAGAATGCTCAATTACTCCCCAACCATAGGTTCACTACCCCAGAATTTCAATCTCTCAAATTGTGCCTTGGCTTTTGATCCCAGGATCAAACCACAAGAATTAAAACAACGCTTAAGAACACAAGTATCCTCTCCCCCCCCCCCCCCCCCCCCCCCCCCCACAAACAGTCTCCCAGGATGGTTAAAGTCCACCTCTAACAAAACTGGATCGAAGGGGCGTATTGAGCAGGTAGTTGTGAGAGAGAGCGACACTTTTAAGTTATCCGCCTCCCCAACCGAGCGTGACCCAGGAGTGGAAAATGCGGCATTAAATAGCTACTGCTATGCCATGAGAAGTTCGATGTGCGTGCTATTTATTTAAATACCGCGTGCGGGAGCGTGTGTGTGTGCCTGCGCGCGCCCCCTCCAGACCCCCCCCGGGCTTTCTCCGCCGCTTGACCGAGGCTCCCGCCGCTCCTGAAGTGACAAGGCGAGGAAAGCCGGGCGCGGAGGGCTGGCCGGGCGCGCCGGGAGCCGCCAGCATCTTCTCGCGCGCGGCGCGGCGCGGCGCCCCTTCCTCCCGCGCCCGGGCTGAGCGGTGGGGCTGCACTCACCCTGGGCCCCGAGGCTCTGTGGGGATGGACCTGCGGAAGCAGCGCCAGCAGCACCAGCAGCGCGCGAGAGGCCGCCGAGCCGCGACGTCCGCCGGGCAGGCTCCCTTTGCGCCGAGGGGGGGACATGGCCGCCTCCGTCGTCGCCGGTGGCGGAAGGTGTGAAGTGGGGGGGGGCGGCTTCGGGCGGCGGGCTCGCTCTTCTGGAGGCCGGCTGAACGCGGCAAGGCGAGAGGCTAATTTCCTCCCCGCCCGCCGCTCTTCAGGCAGCGCGAGCGCCTCCTGCCCCCGCCAGCAGCAACAGGTTAAATGCTCCGGTCCGGGCCATTGGGAGGGAGGCTTCCCTATTATAAAGCCCACGGCCGGAGTGGGCGGGGCCAGGCACGGCCGGGCGACGGACTGACTGGCCGGAGGCGCCCCCCCCCCTCCGCGGAGCTGCAGAGAGATCTACGCGCCCGCTTGCGCTTTGCTCAGCGCCGCGGAGCGCCTGGAAGCCGCGCTCGCCTCCCGTGGCGCGATCTCCGCGGAGGAGACAGAGAAGGACGTGCTCCAAGGAGTACCGCGCGGAGCCTGGACCCGGAAGAGCGCGGGGTTGCGTGGCTAGCCGCGCTCCAGCTGTCTGTCTGTCAGTCAGTCAGTCGCCACGAGTGTCCTTTCTCTCTTCCTGCTCCTCCAAACAGAGGACAGGCCTTTCTATGCAGGCTGTCCGGTCCGAGCCTGCAGAGAAAGATAAAAGGATAAAAGATTAAAGATAAAAAACCATCAGAATTGTTGGCTTTCGCCGCGAGCACCGGGGCAACAGGAAGAACGGACAGGCACGCACGTGAGGCCAACTGCGTTTCTGTACGCATTATAGTAATACATCTCTAAATTTGCATGTGCACGTGTACATTAGCCTGTGCAAACTGGCACCCTCTGTTTGCCTCCTCTTGGGGGTGCAGTGCCTATCAGTGGAACTGCTTTCCAAAGGTGCCCGCCCGGAGGATTTAAGTTCTCAGTTTAGTCAAGCTTCGCAGAAGCTCCGTGGAAGAAATGGAGAGAAGAGATTTACCGGCAGGTACTGATAGGGAGAGAGAGAATTCAGCCCAGAGGCAGAACAGCTGAAGGAAATGGGTACAACTGGCGTTCAGAGGAAGACTTGAGAGTGTACAAGATTGCAGAGGTGTGTGGGACCTATGACTCCTCAGATGTTGTTGTCCCCCCATCATTTCACACCACTGGCTGTGCTGGCTGGGGCTGATGGGAATGGCAGGCCAGCAACATCTGGAGGGCCACAAAACACCCACCCCGATTTCAAAAGCCTTCTGTGTGCTGTCAGTTCAGAGCTCTGTTCCTTCTCCCACAGCCCACTGAGCAGGGGGGCAGAGGAAGTCTGAAAGGAAGACAAAGAGAAAAAGCAAAAGCTGTGGCCCTACTTTTGCCTACCACCCCAGTGTTTCAGGCAGAACAAAAGGGTCTCCACTCTTGGTCCTGGACTAGGAGAGCAAGGAAGGATTCGGTTGCCAAATCTAGAGCCAGAGAAGTTTCCTCTACCGTCCTGTTTAATTCCCATACTGCCCAATTGTCAAGCTCTCTGAGTAGTTCACAGCAATTTGTAAAACAAATCCAATAATAAAACACTGCATAAGATGGCAAGGTACATAATTCAAAACCATTACAATAGAAAGAAATTACCCTGAACAGAAATCTCACAATTGGTTTTTGGCATACTGCGACTTGGCAGTTCCTAAGGAGCAGTTAGGTGAAAGAAACCAGGGTTTGAATTGCACATCTTGATTTGAACTAAGGAGGCAGATCTGTTGCTGGTTTCACATTTATTATTATCAATATTTCAGAAGAATGTTTAGAAGTGGTTCATGGCATCCAGACAGTGAAACAAGAATTAGGAACTGGGCAGTGGAACAATTCAACAATTGTGTTGAACAGCACAATCTGTATAGTTCTTCAGGAAAAACAAGTAATTTTAGCAAATGCTAAGGAGAGTACAAGACTGGGATTCTTTTCACTACTCAGTTATCAAGAAACACTTGAGTTGTTGAGTTACTGTGCAGGACATTGGGAAAAGCAACACTAAAGACAAATGAAAACTACGTATGATCTGTATCCACAGATTCCTTATGGAAATAGTTGTCTGATCAAGGGAGGAGCATCTAAGTGTTTTGTCCTGTGCCTCCATTTAGCTTCTCCACATTTCTAGGTCTTGTGCTTTAAGAAAATGCAGGAGGCTTGTTTGCTGATCACCTCTGGAGTTGGAGATAATATGCAGCTCACATGGCTGTTGTCATATGTGATTGCCCAGATGGGTTTTTCTGCATTAATATACAGCTGGGGAGCAGAACTCAGGCTCAGAAGTAAGACCCAGCCCTTCCTGGGGTTCCCCAGATAGCCATGCCCCTTCTCCTGGGCCTCACCCCCTTTCCTGAGACCACCAATTTGGGGGTGGTTTTCTGGGTTTTTGCAGTTCCTTCCCCATTTTAGAAAGATGTAAATGCTTCTCCAAAGGCTTGGTTACGGACAGTAGCAGCTGTTAAGTTAAAATATAGAGATATTGTAACCCTCCCTCCAATAGGAGACAGGCATCATGAGCTTCCCTAAAATGGAATTTGGCCCTTGGCACCTGAGTGACAACATACATGCACTGGGAAAAGCTGCAGGCAAACCAGATGTTGCAGCTAGAAAAAACCTGAATAAAGTCTCCCCTGTTTGTTTTTGAAGGGTTGATGGTAGCTAATGCAGCTTTGGGGTAGGGTGGTGGCCATTTTTTCCCTTGCATCATGATATTTGCATACATATGCACATCTCACAGCTGCTCTCACCATTTTAAAAAACTGGGACATGGGGATTCCTTGGCATGGATTTCCTTTATCAAGCTTCCTTTGGCTGGAGGCTTCCTAGCACATAAACACCTTGCAGGAAACCTGTTATGCACTTGTCAGGTGATATGATCTAGCAGAGGTGAGCAAGCAGGTTCCTTCCAGATGTCTTAGACCACAAGTCCTATAGCCCAGGACAATTGACCGGGCTGAAGGGAGCTTATGGGAGATGTAGTCTAAAACTTCTGGAGGGCATTAGGTTGCTTAATCCTGATCAACACTCAGGATGTGTACAGGAGTGATAGAACGCGTGGAGCAGGCCCTGAATATCTGTATAATTCAAATGTGGAAGGGGATGCTGTTCCAGGCAGTAAAAATGCTTGGGCAGAACAGTGCCCATGTTGGATGTTGGCTACAAGATGGCAGTGCTTTGAGAAGAGATCACTTGGTATACTGCAACTTAACGTGATGAAAAGGATGAGGGAAGATCTCATGTGCATCACACACAGGATGAACCAGCAGGTTTTCAACACTATCTTTTGGGAGAGTGGTTGTAAAAAAGCTAAAGAGAAGCAACAGGAAAAGATGGGAACATCAGAAATGCCAGAGAGCATTATCTGGACTCTGAAAAATTCTGGGGATGAGGCGGGGCAGCCGCATCGGGAATGCCTCATCAGACAGCGCCTCTAGAAGACTCAAGATGTTCCCAAATGGAGGTGTGCTGGCATTAACAACCAGAAGGCATTTTGCAGCTATCTTCTTCCATAGTAAGAAAAAAGAATGAAAGAAGCAATACAGAAACATTGGAAGGCCAAAAATGAAAACCATCATCGACTGCATGCCACTCCATATAAAATTCCATGAACGAGACAAGGTGACGGCATGAAAGAGTAATCCAGTTGTAGCCTGGTAAACCTATTTTTTGCCCTTTTTTCTTGCCATGGTTTTAATAAATGGCCATTAGGAAGTTATTATTCCCTGCTTTGTAGAAGAGGACTCATAACCAGTTCTAGGTTGGCTAGGAAAGTAAACAAAACAACTGAATTCAGAAAATACAATAATCCACAATCAAAGGCTAAATATGGGATGTCATTGAATTGTGGGTTGCTGTCTGAAGCCAGCTGAGATAACAAACCACGGTGAACAACCCATAGTTCATAACTCAGCAAGAAACCACAGGTTCTCTTGGTGGTTTGCTCATAGTTAACAAGCCATGACTTGTTAACACAGCTGGGTCTAGACACCATTATAGCCCATGTTTCAACAGCAAGCCACACTCAGCTCTTGAGTAGTTCTTGTTATGTGAAACCAGAACAACTAAAATTTCCTTTTGAATAAAATATTATCGAAATGGTGATCATCGCAGTAAGCTGGTTTATCTTGCCTTTCTTATAGCATAAATGCACTGAGAGCAAGAGGGAGGCAGAATTTTTTTACCATAAACATCACTATGCATGTCACACACTGCCCAGACATTGTACTAGCAGGACTGAAAAGCTACAAAATAAAGCCCTCACTGCTTAAGCTTGGTTTTAATTTACTAGCTTTAAAGAAAATGGTATACAGAAACTAATAAAAGCTTTAAGTTGTTTAAAAAGCCTTGAGCCACTAGTTTCTTCCTTAAAATTCACATTCTTGAGGCTTTTTATAGGCTAATCATGAGAAGCATTTTATAAAAGAAATATACAATAACACAACAGACCCCAGCATCAAGAAATTAAGACTTAAACTCCCCTGTTCCTAATGACTGTTATAGGATTTCTCTTCCCCATCTCTTTAATTAAGTTGCTGATTGGTTCTGCAGTCTCCACTTCTGTCTGCCCTGTGCACCAGTGGGACTTAACTCCCTGTTCGCCAGACACTGGTCAGTGGTTTCATCTTGTATTGGAATTAGGGTCACCATATTTTGTTCTGAAAAATCTCTTGTGCTTTTAACAGCTGCATGGTAGATGTTCAAGGCATCAAGTACTCAGCAAGTATTTCCTTAGCACCCTGTCTGTATGTTGGGAAAAATCCACCCCTTGGATTTCTGCCTAACCTACTGTTGCCAGAGCCATAGGAAAGCAAGAACGGGGAATATCTTTGGCTCAAGCAAAGTGGGCCTCAGAGCACAGTGGACTCCACTCACAAACAACTTATCCATTATTTACAGCTAGCCAGAGCAAAATGGTTGCTTCAGGCAGCTGATGTTGGGTGTCATGAAAGGGCAGCAAATGTTCCTTATTTAATATAACATTATTGTAATTTTACTGCCAAATGAGGACAAGTGCTTGTTGGATTTTCTGCCTCCAGCACCAAAATATTTTGGCTGGCCTTAGCTACTCGGCACCTTGACTTGGGGAGGGGATGCCATTTGTGGCCCCTGCCTCAGGCACCGGCATGTCTTCGGACTAGCCCTGATGAAATTTTGCATACACTCATTTCCGTAGCCTAATAAGGAGAAACAAGGAAATTCAGTTCTCTGCAGTCTGCCAAATGTAAGCATAGAAAAGGCATTCCCACCTGTACATATTCTAGTTTCTAAACATTTT